CCCCAAAACCCCAAAACCCCAAAACCCCATAAAAGAATTAGATTACAAAAATAGGCAATCATTTATATTTAAATTTAAAGATAACTATACAAATATGAATTCAAAATAATTAGACAAAGAAAACATCTTTATCTAGCAATAAAAGATCAACCTTTGTTTCCCCTAGAGAATAACTCGCAAGAATTAATAATCATTGGATGAAAACAGTTAGCAAAATAGATTACTTTAAGGTTAATACTTTAATGAATAGCAAAAATTAATGATGACTGATATAAATAAGATTAGGAAATCAGAGTTATAACCTATGAATGGTAGTAGTTCTAAATACATTTTACAGGATAATACAAGAAAGTATCAGATGATATTTGAAAATGCAGCGAATCACTCCTAACTTGTTAATCCATTTGATGTTAGTAAACTCTAGCTTAATCAAGACAAATAAGATCTAACAGCCAAGTAGATCTCAAATTAGATTGGTGGTAAAATGCAAAATTAAAAAAGTATCACAAAAGAGAAGATCAAGAGTCCAAGAAACATTAGTACAAATATGTTTAAAGTGTAAAATGATATTATACCCTCATAAGAATAAAGAAGAGATTCATGCTAATATGACTCATATAAAAGAAATGTAAGCCAAATTAAAAGGTCAAATAGTAGAAGCAAGAGTAGTAGAGTAGCAAGCAACACTAAAATTTCTTAGAGATTCAACTCAAGTAAAAGTAAAGATTCAACAAAGAATTTCCATTCTTAGCTAAAGCATGAAGTTGCTAATGTAAGATATCATAAATTAAATCCTTGATCATAGAAAATTTAAGAGCTTTTGCAAGACACCTTAGATATCAAAGATGCTGGAGAACTCTTGAAAAGATAAAATGAAGTTAAAAGTTTGAAGGATGAAATTAAGTAGTTACTAGCATAACTCCTTCTTAATAAGTCATAGCTCTTTGGAAAATAAGACTAAAATTCACTTAGTACTAGGCCTAGCTCACGATCAATTACAAGGAATTCAAATATTTCTCAGATATCTTCAAAATAAAATAGCACCTAGCAGGCAGAAGAAAAAACAATTAAATTTCTTCAAGGACAATTGGAAGTCCTAGAAAAGGCATTTAAATTAGAGAGTTAACCAACCTATATCAACACTTAGCCATCTAAAAGACTTACTTTACTAAATAAAATTAGTTCTTGTGATGTGCTCTCTTAAAAAAACTCAACTTGCAAAGTCAATTCTTATAAGACTTCAACCAAGAATCAAAACAAGAAACAGCCCCTTTTAAATGTCTCTTAAACTGAACCTGACTTATTTTCACCTGTTAATGCAACTCCTCTTTAATTGAATTAGCAAAAAACTGAACAGAGCAATGATAAGTCTTAGTTTAGTACTATTGATTCTAGAGGAGTATAGACTACATTGGCAAAATACAAGTCAGCAAATAGATTGCCAACAGGAAGGAATAGCAGACAGCAAAAGCAAATGGGTATTGAAGAAAATTATAGCCAATTAATCGAAAGTAAATATACAGATTCAATAAAGGATTACACTTAGAATTATGATCAAGATCTAAAGCCTTCAATATTGGAGAAATAAGAGTAGGTTTCAAATAAAAAAGATTTAGATAAACTTACTCAAGATCGAAAAGTTATCAAATTCCTTTAAGGATCAAAAGCTGAAATGCACAGTCTATTAAGGAGAGTTTCCTCAGTTTAGTCTCAAAGATCAAATTAAAATATCATAACTAATTAGTCTGTAAGCAGAAGGTCATCTAACTCGCAATTGAGTTAAATTAAAATAACTAAAATTACAAACTAAAATTAGAGAAATAGCTCAGTAAGTACTTTAAAACCTGATAAATCTGAGAATAACTTACAAATTAGACAGACTAAATTAAATAAAGACATTGAGATCAATAAAAAACTTGAATAAAACAATTAAAAACTTGATAAAAAATTGTAGTAATTGGAATAAAAAGTACAAAGGCTTTAGGAGAAAAATAAAAAGAAAACTCAAGAAGCTGAAATGACAAATTTTCTTAGATCCAAAACAAAGGAGATGCAAGTGATGTTTAAAGACATATAAAAGGATTCTGATTTGCATCTTAAAGGGCTTATATCTGAATTCATTGGTGGGATTGATCAAAACTAAGAGAACTTGTAGCAGTTTCAAAGAATGATTTCGCAGAAATATGAACAGATGATACAGATTAAAATTGAAAATAATCAACAATTATAAATGAGGAATCAAGGCTTAACCTAGAAGCATGAAGCGATAAAAAACATGATAAATTAGCTAATGTGATGAGTTTAATTTTTTAAGCACAATTGGGCAAATTGAAATGATATAACTAGTTTATTGAATATAACAGCTAAAAATATAATTTATAATTTTAAAATTAATGCTATCACATTAAAGGAAGTCATCCACAATCTAACAGTAAACCCCATTCAAGAATATTACAGGCAAGACTGTGAATGGGGAGTCAAAGAAGAGAACTCTAAATAATGAGAATATCAGCAATTAAACTATTCTAATAAACTCTACTATTAGTCAGCAAAATTCAACGAAATCATCGCAATATAGAGATCTCTTTAAAAGTAATTAGAATTCGGAAAATTTTGAAATTGACTAGAGGCTAGTGATAGCAGAGCATGAACTCATGAACAAAGATAAAATTATATAAGATCTTACTCAATAGATAACGGAAACGAGACTAGATAATGAACTAAAATCTCTTCAAAACAAAGACCTTTCCAAATGGCTTTAATTAATGACACAAAGCATTTCCTAGTAGCTCTAGGGCCCTCAAAATAATTTTCAGAATACACTTCCATTTAGAGATGATATAAGCACATTTAGTCAGCCTGATACCTAAGAAAAAATTATTTAGAAGGTGAACTAAGGTCTTTAAATGATAGATAGTCTTAGAGTAGAAAATTTCGAACTAAAAAAATAATTAGCTTGCGAAAAAAAGTGATAGATTGATTTGAAAAATGCCTTGATTGAAATGAAAAATGAATTTAAATAACAAGAGAAAGACTTGTATGGAGAAGATAAACCAGATATGCTTTTACTTTTAAATGAAAAGTAAAATTTGCAGAATACCCTAAGGATCTTAACAGAAGAAGTAGAATTTTTATCTAAGAAAAATGAAAAATTCTTGAAAGAGCTAAAATAAAAAGACTTTTATGATGCGTACAAGAATCAAAGTGAGGAACTCATGAAGCTAAGAGAAGCTCATGCACTACTCATTAAGATGATATAAAGCAAGGATTTATCTATAGATCCAAGAAGCAAATCAATAAGAGATGTGCAATCTTAATCAATAGGCAGTTTGATATCTGGGCAGGAGAACAAGGGCAGAAATTTTATGAATTAGCTAGATAAGGGAACTTTGCCATTTAGAAAAATGCTGACCTGCTAGACCAGTTAGAAAAATAAGACCTTTAATGCTGGTAAATTAGGTCATGAGGAATCAGATGAAGAGCCATATGAAGCACTTCAGAGTGTTCAAATTTAAGATATAGACTAGTATCTTGATGCTGTCCTCTCAAAATATAGGGGATCAGGAAGAGGAAGTGGAATAAACTTCATGGACTCATCTTCAGCTAGAAATTTTTATATGCTTTGAATATTAAATTATATTGCTTATATTTAATTGTTTAATGAATTAGATGCTTTATTAAAGATTTGAGTGAGCTATCTTTTATTATTTAATATAAAGTTATATTGAAGAAATGGTATGTTAACTTTCTTTAATCTTCTATTAGGTGTTCAAGAACTTCGTTCAACCAGGCAGAGTAGCTTACGTAAACTTCGGAAAAGACTTAGGCAAAGTTGTTGTTATTGTTGACATTGCCGATTCTACCAGAGTCCTCGTCGAAAACCCACAAACCGGATTCCCCCGCGTTCTCTACCCACTCAGAAGACTCACCCTCACCGGACTCAGAGTTCCAGGAGTTCTCAAGGGAGCCAGAACTGGCACTGTCAAGTAAGGACTCAGATTATTTAACTTTTTATAGAACCGCTGCTGAGAAATACTAGCTAAGTGAGAAATGGGCTGCAACTGCATAATCAAAGAAATTCACAGTTAGAGCTAAGAGAGCCAGCTTGAACGACCTCGACAGATTCAAGGTTATGATCAACAGAAAGAACAGATCATTCAAACTCAGACACCTCGCCAAGAAAATCTCTGGTGGTTCCAAGGCTGCCGCCAAGGGCAAGGGCAAAGGCAAGAAGTGATTGCAGTTCAACTGTTTTTCTAATAAACTTCAAATCTATTTCCACTATCTAATTATTTATTATTTATGTATGGTCCTTACCACTTATTATCAATATATTGCTATTTAAGTCTGCAGGGGTTTTGGGGTTTTGGGGTTTTGGGGGGATGTCTAAAATAAAGAA